ACTCCATATGACTTCCCCCACCCCATCACTGCTGATCTTTTCATGTATTCTTTATAAAGAATCCATTGAACTTTAATTAATATGAAAAATTCAGGTTTTCATCTGATTTAAATGTGACTGACATCATGCTGTTGCTAAAAGCAGAACAAAGTACAAGCATAGTGAAAATAAAACTGAAAACCTGGTGCCTGCCACAGTTTTATTTTCCCAGGGCCAAATAATTTACAGCCTTTCTGGGACACATGAGAGACACACATCAGTGGCATTTTTCAGGATTCTTGGTGTCCATACCTATAATCAGCACATACTTGAAGGAGTCCACCCTCAACAAAGAACATGATTCAATACCTGTCAAATGAATCAGTTGTCTTTAGGTCCAAATGTCCAAGTTAAAAGTGACTGAAGTTATACAGTTAGTGGTAAATGATTTCAAAGGATTAATGGGACAAAAAGGAGGAGAGATTCTCTGGAAGTGAAAACACACACACCCACATACACACACAAATTTGCCTCTGTAACCAGATCCCCATGGCCCCAGAGGCCACAAGGCAAAGTGGCTTTGTTGAGGAGAGTCGGGACATTGCAGACACACACTATCTGGGTGAGACAGCTGACCACTCATGGTCTTAAAATCTTTCCTTTTGCCCAATGTCCTGCTTGTCAAATAAACCCTGCTATTGTTGGGCCCTGAGCCTGAATGGCCTTGCAATTGTGTGCATGGGTCAGAACCCCCTGACAGTGACCTGTCCCTTACCTTGATCACTGTCCCTTGTCACTCTTTGAGCTCTAAGCACACTTTTGCACTGTTTCACATCCACCTGCCATTTACATACATGCTCTTTTCTCCTTGTATTCAGTGAACTGTTCAAAGTAGCTGTAAATGTATTTTTGGAAGGGAATTAAGTAGAAGAGAATAACTTCCTTTGAACTCTAAGCTGTTAGCATTCTGCTTGCCATGGCCAGACTGCTCTCATGCTCAGGTATTCTTATACATGTAGATGGTACATGTGCCCTGATGTTGCACATTTTTAATTCACTAAAACATCTTGGGCATTGCATTTCCAAATTTACAGTCATGTGTTAAAAATGATTTAACCTTTCTCTCCTTTTCTCTGCCGTCTTGGTGTGTGTGGTTGGCTTCCCTCCACACCCTGTCTTCTCACAAGATTTTTGCTGTCAAGCAATTTCTGGATACAAAACACAAGCAGAATCCTCCCATTCCCTGAAAACTGCTAATAACATCAAATACAACTCCAAAGGAGACATTAGTGAAGAACCCAGTTGGGCCTACATGGAATTGCATGTGTGATGGCACATGGATTTATGCTATATCAAGGTCATTACCATATAAGTTTGATTACACATAATTTAAGTCTTGGAAAATATAAATTAAAACATTTTGAAAGGAGGGTGAGTCTCATAAAAGCATCTAAAATTCCAGTGAGTTAATTTAAAATTTGAAGCCTCTCAACTTATTTTAAGTTCATTATCAAATTTTTCTTTTCCCTGTAACTGCTGAGTAAACAAAGGACATTTTTCCCATACAGGGCACCAACATACAAGCATGTACAAAGTATGCACATATAAATCTCTTTAAAATCACAGTATAAATAAAAAGCATTGACATAGTGATCTTTTTTAAATGTAGTCCTATTTAAAGGAATATAGTTTCAGAGATAGTCCTAAAGAGAACTGATATCTTTGTTATTGACTAATTGTTATCTTTAAAAGGTACAGAGTGCTTTCTGCCCACTTACTATATTTTTCATACCTATTTTGGGTAATTTTGTGGCCATTTTAAATGTGTTTGGTTTAACTCTGTATTACTATCAAAGTATTTAAGACCTGTAAGGATACAACGATAGTTTGTGAGGCTAGCCATTAGTAGACTATTCTGTTAGTCTCTAGCATTTCTGCACATCTTGCAGAGAAAGGCACTATCTGCTTTTGTTCTGGAGTATCTATTCAAGGATGTTTGTATAGTGAACAGCCTTGAAAAATAAAGATGGTGTCTCTCTCCAGAGCAAAGGGCAGTCATACTTGTTGTCTAGTACAATAAAGTTAATGTCTCTCACTGGGACGGGTGTCTGGCAAGCTGATTGTCCATTATAAATGATTTGTGTTTTCCAAACTTGGGGTTTTTCCTATAATGCAATGCACTCTGTGTGCAGTTATTACCTAACTCTCTTTGTATTGCCCTAAGGGAATTAGGACTTGGGGAATTGGCACAAGAAATGCTGATACACTGACTCTGTTATTACCATGAGTAACAAATTTTCCTTTGTCTCAGACCCAGGAATCTTGTGCCTTATGCCAACATCCTTGAAACTGTGTCAGGCTAATTTATTTGCTTCCAAGTATAGTAAAATCCCAGGTTCTTTACTGTTCTTAATAGCTGAGTGTTTGAGCTAGTAGGGATGATGGTTATCTACTTGTTATGGCAAAATTTCTATGAATATCAGCAGAAATGTTTTCTTTGGATGGATACATTGGTAAACCTATGCTACAGAATAGGGATTAGCAATCTACACTTATACAATCTGGTTCGCTGCCTGTTTTTATAAACAAAGTATTATTCCAACAGTAATGCACATCACTTACATGCTACAACAGCAGAGTTGATTAGTTGTAGCAGACACTGTATGGTCTGAAAAGATTATTATATTTGTTATCTGACTCTTTAAAGGAAAAGCTTGCAGACACTTGTTACAGTCCAAAGAAGGCAACCAAAAATTCAGATCATCATGAGCTGATTTATGAATATTTGGATAGTGAGATTAAAACAAAATAGATACTGCATAACAGGATAAAAGATATTTCATTGTTAACTATGGATAAAATCACTGCAATGCCACAGGTCTGCTTGGTGAGCCACAATTATATATTCAAATCCTTCAATATTCAGCTTATTTCCTCACTAATAAACTGACCTTACATCTGTATTGGGGAATTTAATTTTTCTACTCAGAGCTCCCATAGCACTTTATCTAAACACACTTTTGATAACTAATTTTCTACCTCACATTCTAATTACACGAACATGACTTTTTCTGCTAGACTATAAATTATTTAGGATGGGATCTGTAAACAGATTAACAAACTGTTATTTCCATGATCCATGTTAAGAACATAGAAAGTGATCTGAACAAACTATTTTTTAAGTAGGGATCATTAAGATAGATTTTTTTCCTCTCCTACAAGTCTAAATAGCAAACTATGCCCTTAAATTAAAAAAAAATGTTCTAATGTACTGCCTTTACAGACAATTTCCTTTTATAATTATACTTCCTAAACTTTAATTGCATTTCCTTAGTTGATTTCGACTTAATAAAGAATGAGTGTGACATAGAATAGAATTGTTCCCACTGGCAGGGGAAAGCATGTGTACATATTGATTCTTCTTGAGAAGGAGATATTGGAGAAGATAAGAAGATGTTGCTATAAGAAGCAAATCTTAGAGAGAAAGAAAGTGAGTCAATCAGTTTCTCATGAATTCACACAGAGGTATAGCAAAGGACTGTGGGGTCAACACACAGAAACAGATTCTTTTAGAAGGGAGATTCATCCAGGTGTCAAGGGGTTGCTGAGCTGAATTATTTTGGAAGTATTTCAGAAGAGACATCTGAGCACCCTACGAGAAATTTAGGAAGTGTAACAACAGCTGCAACATTATAGAGGGCCTGCTAAGAGCCAAGTACTTAAAATATATTATCTCATTTAAATGTCACAAAAACCAATAAAGGATGGCTGATTATTACCCTTATTTTAAGGATGAGGACAATATGGCTTAAACAGGTTAAACAAGGTTGCACGTCTAGTATGTGACAAGTGAAGCTTGTTTCAAATTTATACCTTCTCACTCCAAAGCATTAATATAGTAATGGTGTTCCATGGACTTCAGGTAGAAGCTCCCTCCCACTAGAACACACTACTCCTAGGGAGAAAAACCTGAACTTCTATGGTTCTACTCAAAAGACCTCATTAAGATGAGTGTTGAACCTTTTGGTGGTCATCTCAGATGTTCAAGTACAATGCTGTATACCTGAAACTTTAATAATGCAATAAACCAAAGTTTCTTCAATATTTTTTTTTAAAGATGTAATATTGAAGTGAAGGGGTCCATCTCACAGTTTCAGGGATAATTTGTATATGAAGCTCATTTCATTCCCTGAGCATGTCCCTCTATTCTCTGTTAAACCATCAGGAAGTGGTCGTCAAACTTCCCAACCAACTCGATTTGCTGATAATGGCACTGCATAAATTCACAGCTCAGATGTTCTTACTTCCAGCAATCTATTTCTGTGCCATTCACACTTGCAGGAAGAGTATTCTATTCTTATTGCAGGTCCTACCATTAACATATTTAACACTTTAGAACAGGGAGAGGCAAACCTTGATGTAAATCTTTAAGATGTGCTAATAATAATTTTTCAGGCAAATCTCATTATTTCTTAATACTCTCAGAATAGTCCAGCTCTAAAGTAATTATGACACATGCCAGCTGCTGGTTCAGAGCTCTAGGGTTTCAAACAAAGGCTGGAACCTCTTCAGAGAAACAAGCTGCTTGAAGAAGGACAAAAGGCATGGTGGGGGGAGAGTTCTCAGACAGATACTCACTCTGGATTTATCTTTTCATTTTGAATCATTGATTTTCACTCTGACCTTAAAAAAAATCTAGCTGAAAGAAAAGTAAAACTTTTATAGCCAACAGGGTAAGAAGGTGAAAAAGTTTGAGTGAACAGAGAGACAACCTGAAGAAGAAATTCAAGAATATGTCTTTCTAAACAGAAACAGAATTTTGGGTGGAGTGCACAGGCCAAGTCTTAGGAGTTTGCGTAGACATAAACTCGAGAGAAATCAGGCACCAGAGGGGTTCATATTGGATAACTGTAGAGACTGAATATATACCCATAGGCTGAAACTTGATTTTTATATACTGGCATCCAAAGGTTACCATCAACTTCATGGAATAACAGCTGTAATGGAGAGAGAGCAAGACTGTATACTTTTCTTCATATTCCATAGTGACAGGTCTAATTTTGACTTTTCCGCTTATCTTTTACCAGCCTCTAAATTCTAATGGAACAAAAGAAGGAGAAAGAGAATTGGTTGGGAGAGAAATAGACTTAGCTAAAAGCTAAATATGAAAAACATTTTGACTGAGAGGCAATATGCTGCTGATTTAGAAATCTACGATTTAGAAGTCAAAGTACCTGGCCTATATATCCACTTGTTTGCCAAGCAACCTCTAGATTCATTATCAGATCTTTCTAAAAATTATAATTATCATTCCTGGGTTTATTATTTTATCTACTAGCCTAGAGATATTGGGAAATAAAATAAAGCTTTTAATGCCCTACTGGCTTTGGACTTAGAAAATAGTATAAAATAAGGACTGCAGGAAACACTAATCCTCAGTACAATGTGGGTCATGGAAAATGTAGTGTTGCATAGTGATAATAAATATCTTGGAAATTAAACTGTATTTGAGGCAAAAATTAAGGTGTCTATTTTTTTCTGTTTTTCCTAAAGTTTGATTTTTATTTAAACAATATATTTGAAAAATCAATGGGATTTTTAAATTTATTCTTAAAGATAACAGTAAGTCAGGTGTTTTTCAAGGGTTTCCAACTTTTAACACTTCAAAATCAATATCACATTTATGTTCAGGGTTATCAGATTTTAGAAATTCATTTGCAAATAAAATAAAAAAAATCTGTGTACCTTTTTCTTAATTAGCATTTAGGACATTTTTATCAGTCTCTTACCATTTTCTGATTATACTATTTCACAAAAATAAAAATGACTATAATTTAAAATAAAACAAATGGGTACATTTACCAAAAAGGACTTTTTTTTTTTAAGGAGAGAGCATATTTTTCATTTATGTTTAGATAAATAATATTTTTTTCATTAGGAAGTAAGTGATTGCATTTATTTCTGAAAAGCTTAATTTACCATTTACTTGAAAAATCAGGTGATATTATGATTTTTTCTCTATAATAACCACAAGACATATAACTGTATTTTTATTGACTTTTTACATGATTTGAGTACCCCAGTGGGAATTCAACACCAGGCCAGTAAATAAATTTCAGCTCAACCTGGAAATTATCACTGGGCTGAAGCTAATGCTCTTGTGAAAACTAACTATAGTGTTATAAATTATGTTAGGAAGCTGGCATAATTTATTTTGTGTTAGTCAAACCATTCAGGTTCAAACCCAAATATCACCTTCCTCCTGAAACTGTTGTGTTATATATTTCTGCACAATATCCCACTTTGCAAGTGTGAAATCTCTGTATCATTGAAGACATCAGCTTCTCTTTTGCCTTTCATTTCTATCCTATTCTGAATTCTATGAATTTCACCTTCATTAAGCTTGCTGAGCCTATTACTTTATGTTTTGTTCCCTCTACCATTACTGATTTAGATAATCTTTAGTTTTGATTTGAGCCATTATAATACATTTCCAGTTGGCCTTCTTGAGTCTAGATACTGTCCTCTCTAGCACAACAGTTCTGACAGACACATCTTCTATAAATGCCCTTCTCCAAAAACAATTTAATGACTTTCAATTTCCTAATAAACTATTCACATATTTTTAAGAAAGTCTTTCTGAAAATTAGCCTTATTTTATACAGCAACAAGCCCAGTGATTATGATGAAGACCCATTGACTGAGTCAAAATTGTCCTTTTTTTTTTTTTTTGGATTACCAGTTGTTGACTTTTTATCTTAACCACTGATAGAGTGAAATGTACATTGCATATTAATCTACTCAATTTTCTTGCTATTTTCAGAATATGATCTACACCAGAGGGTTCCCTTTATGACATTTTGATATAAACTGGGGACACTTCCCAAAGGGAAACTGCACATAGAATTTCATAGAGTGGGTAGTTAGACTCCCTGAAAGTCTATGGAAGTACTCTATTCTTTGCTGTGCGACATCATTTTTTCTCAGGCCATTCTATGATTACGTTTTCTAACATGTTCCAAGTAATTCTTTGAGACCTATTCAAATATGACATCCTCCACTGTCCTCTTTAATTTTATGAATTGGACATAATTGCTCCATTCTGTATTCACCCATAGTATTTTGTGCATACCTTTCTCAATGTACATATAGCAACCTGTCTCATTTAATTATTTTGTTTTCTACTATAATTCTCTCTACTATGTTGCAAGAACACTGCATATAGGATTGGTGTCTTGCTCCTTTGTGGTTCCTCCTGAACTATCCAGCCCACTCTCATCACCCTGGTCAAGATTGTGAACTTCAAAAATATTCAGCAATTATCCGTTTAATCTGTGACTAAAGGAAGAATGATGATAGCAGTTAAAATGCACTAACCTGGGGCCTCTCTGGTGGTGCAAGGAGTTAAGATGCAGCACAATTAAGCTATGTGCAGCCACTGCAGTATGAGTAAGATCCAGCCAGGGAGGTGACCTACATGGCACAGCAGACCTCTCCTGACTCGCCCGCTGCTCCCCTCAGCAGTGTATTTGAGTCAATTCACCTATTCTGTTCCCCACTCTGCCTCTGATGAATCCTCTCACCACCCATACCTCTGGCCTGTACCCCAGTTCTTATATGCATAAATAAAAATAAATCTTTAAAAATGCACTAACCTAAATTTTTATTTTTTCTTTAACAAAAGCAACTTGTAAAATAACTTAACAATAAATAACTGGAAATAAAAGGTGAAATTGAGCCATATGGGAGTAGGTATCTGTAGTGTTTCATGTTACACTTCCATGGATCACTTGATTTTGTCCAGATTTTATGGTAAAATAATGTTACTCAATGATAACCAAGTCAACTTTTACCATGGGTTCACATTTGCAATGCAAATTGTTAAACCTTGGAGAACCTATTTTTTTTAAGCTTGGAGAAAATAAAAGCATGCCTCAAAATGATGCTTTGAAGCTGATAAAGTATTCATAGAGCTCAGGAAAAAAAGCGCCATTTGCTTACTAAAATAGTGGCTTGTGTCCTGATTACAGATACCTTTTCATACAATGCATTACTGCCCCAAAGAAAATAGTTCCAACACATTTCCATTACATACTTACTCCATGTAGTCACCTTAGAGTTAAGCTCTCTAATTAAATGGCAATAATGTTTCTGACTTCCTAATCCATATACCATCCCTCTATTTGGAAACAGGGTACATCTTACCTTAGATGCTTTGTACATCTTACAAAGATGCTATTCTGAGTTATCTAAATTAGCTGGTCCATATGCCCAAGATAATATGAACTCAACATTCCATACTAAGTAGGAGTTTTAGCTAAAACTCCCAATCCTAATGGCTTTTAACAGGTATTCACTAGGTTACTCATGCATGAGATCACAAGTATATTCACGCTCTGTATATATATATATATATATATATATATATATATATATATATACACACATTAAACAGACATACTAATAGAAGCTTTAGAAAATACATATTTGTATTAAATTAATGTAGTAAAATAACCTGGAAACATTTTCCCCTTCAACTGGGGAAGGAGTAGGAGTGGAGGTAAGTCATATTTGGAATAGAAATAATTTAATCAGAGCTCATGCTTCCAATTCTGGTGTTATGGAATAAAACACTGTCAGCTATGTGTTGATTCTTTCAAGGAAAAGTACACCCGGAAAAGAATCAATGCGCTTTAGAACAATTCTGGTTTTTGTTTTAAAGATGCTGGAATAATAATAACACAAGGATAGATCTTGCTCAAAGGAGACCAACTGCTCTGCCTCTAGAGAAATATATAATGAACCTTGCTGAGGTCGACTAGCTCCCTACATAAACTAAACAGTTAAAAAAAGCACCAACCTTGCTGAACTGAAACTTAAATTGAATTTGGAAAGCCCAAAGAAGAACTCTGATGGGAGGGAAACAAGAGTCTTGATAACCAAGAGGAACCTTGATGAACATCTATCTTTTATGTAAGAAGGGAAAATCTTAGAAAACCTAACCCTGTACAGTTCCCTTCTGCTGACTTGTACAAGGGAATACATAAATGACTTTAAAATATAAAAATAACTATTATTATGGATGGACCATAGCCCTCCAACTCCAATTCATATGCTGAAGTGTTAACCCCAATGGTGGTAATATTAGGTAGGAGGGAGGAGCTGACATGAATGGGATTCATTAGCTTACAAAAGATGACAGACTCCCTAGCTGTCTTTCCATTGTCATGTGAGGACAGAATGAAAAGATGTCTGTCTGCAAAGAAGGTGCCCCATGAGAACCTGACCATATTAGCACCCTGATTTCACACTTCCAGAAGGAGAAATATAATAACTAGAAAAATAAATTTCTATTGTTTTTGAATACCCAGTCTAAGCTACTTTGTTATAGCAGACTGAACTCAGACGACTATATATGCATATAAGTATTATATAAATTATATATATAGCTTACCTTGTATTACACTTTCGAGATCTACTTGAATGTTGACTAGAAAACATTACATCCTTCCACTAACTTTGTTCTGTGTCTAGTCTGAGAAAAACTGAAACAGCAAGATATATTTGGGTACAGGATGGTGACCATTTCCTTTTTTCATCATCTGTGGGGACCTGACAGATAGGAAAATCCATTGTCCCTGCTGCAGTAAATAATTGCTAACAGGATCATGCAGGTGTTAGCAGCAATACAAAGAAGATCCTCAGTCCCTGCTCTGGTGAGGACTACAAGATCAAATCACCTGACAGAAAAGGAAAGCACTTTCCAGGACGTGGTTACACAGTAGCTTTTTGGAATAATGCAATGTAATTTTTCAGAGAGGAGAAAATATCCTTAATAAACTAGTATGCCCAGAGTCTGCGACTGTTCTACATTCAAGTTTTATGCAACTCACATATACTTCATACAACAGGTGCTGCTGCTCCTACACTGCATTTCTTTTGCAGAATGTAGCTGTTAGGACTCAGGAAAGAATGAACATTTCAGGCTCTGTGCGAGAAAAGCTGTTTTTTTTTTTTTTTTTTTTTTTTGAAGAAGAAAAAGTTTATTGAGGAGAAAAAGAGCAGAAATAAAGTGGGACTCCCAGGCCAGGGAACCA